CTGAGGAGTCACAAATAATGCTGAACATTGTGCAATCATCAGCGAACATCCCCACTTCTAACCTAATGATGGAGGGAAGGTCATTGATGAAGCAGCTGAAGATGGTTGGGCCTAGGACACTACCCTAAGGAACTCCTGCAGAGATGTCCTGGAGATGAGATGACTGACGTCCAACAACCACAACCATCTTCCTATGTGCCAGGTATGACTCCAACCACCGGAGCGTTTGCCCCCTGATACCCATTTGATTCCAGTTTTGCTAGGGCTCCTTGATGCCACACTCGGTCAAATGCAGCCTTGATATCAAGGGCTGTCACTCTCACTTCACCTCTGGAATTCAGCTCTTTTGTCCATGTTTGAACCAAGGCTGTAATGGGGTCAGGAGCTGAGTGGCCCTGATGGAGCCCAAACTGGGCGTCACTGAGCAGGTTATTGCTGAGTGGGTGCTGCTTGATAGCACTGTTACTGACACCTTCCATCACTTCACTGATGATCGAGAGGAGACTATTAGTCAACCAGATGGGTTTTTCCAACAATTGACAATAATTTCATGGTCATCAGTAGATTTTTTAATTCCAGACTTTTTTTAAAAATTCTACCATCCACCTTGGTGGGATTTGAACCCGGATCCCCAGAACATTAGCTGGGTTTCTGGATTAATAGTCTAGCAATAATATCACTGGTCATCACCCACCCCAACTGGCTGTGATACTGTGAGGCCGTGAAAGATTCTATATAAATGCAATCATTTTCTCCCTAATGTTTGAAAGCAGTATCAGTGGGGGACATTTTCAGAAATGTACAGTTACCCTGGTTGCCCTTTCATCTCCCAAATGAACCTGCTGCCAAGTCCAGTCTGGAGTGTGAGCCTGACTGTGGACCCGTCTCACAGTGTGGGATTCATGGAGATAAGAGGCAGAGAGGCTGGATATTCTCAAAGAGAAGACTGCTTTTCACTTCAACAATATCAGACACACACCACAACAAACATTGACTCCACCTGGAGGACCATCAACACGGTGAAAAATGCTCTGCCCGAACCTTGTTGGTCTTCCAGAGCAAAGAGTTGACCTCGACCGAGTGTTGCAGACTGGCACATTCCAAAGCTCAGGACTACGTGCTGAGGAATGCACTAAAGCTTGGGGCAGATACTGCCAAGGTGCAGCGGGGCAAGACCATCGTCTGAGTCTTCCCACTGAAGGTAAACGGAAGCCTGTTCAGTTATCGGATCCTCCTAGTGTATCAAATATATGTAAATATTAGTAACATATGTGTAAGAGAGGTCTTTGGTTTTGTGGATAGTCAAACTCCAGTGTTTTGTGTTTACTTGATATGCAACTGTGCAGAACCAAACTGCTTTTGTCTCAATGTATGTGAACAAAGACTTTTTTTTATGAACAAAGTATAGTTTTGAAATTAAAAATCTGCAGGAAATGTGGAACATGTGAAGGGAGACTTTAAACCACCAGCACGTTTGTGAAGAGTCAACTGCTGTAACACTTGCTGGTGCCCGAGAAGAGAGAATCAAATGGAATATGTATCGCACTTCGAGATTAGGCAGTGGTTCCTGGAATTAAAGGGAATGGGGAGCTTTGTCTTTGATCAGTGGTCACAGTTATCTTTGGATCCCATAACCCCAGAATGGGAGTCCAAAATTGCTGATGGAGATGGGTTTGATGCTGGGGAGGAAGAGGGGACGGGGCAGGCTGGGAGAGGGTGTGAGGCGTGCTGGGTGGATGGGGGAGCACCAGCTCAGTGGACTGACAAATTCATTCCTACAGCATTATGATTCTAGCAGTTCTAGGGCAATACAAAGGTCAGTGTTACTGGATTCATATTTGCATGTTATTAAACTACAGACAACGAGAAGGATAGCAGGACTATTGCTCACTCATCACAGAGTGTTGGGTTCATGTACTCAAATATGTGACAGTACTGACACTGTGCACTACAGGCACAGAGCTTTGCAGAAGTGTGATGCCAAAAATAGCAACGAGCCTTATGTTGGAGCCTGGAGGTTTGAGAGAGGTGACAGTATGCTGTGGATTATATTCAGGTAATCCAGATTAAATATTCCTCTCACAAACAAACACAGAAATTGCTGGAAAGTTCAGCAGGTCTGGCAGCATCTGTAGAGGGAAATCAGTGTTAACGTTTCGGATCCAGTGACCCTTCTTCAGAACTGGACCCGAAACATTAATTCTGATTTCTCACCACAAATACTGCCGGACCTGCTGAGCTTTACCAGCAATTTCTGTTTTTGTTTCTGATTTACAGCATCTGCAGTTCTTTCGGTTTTTATCTAGGAGAATGAATACCTACTAATGGGGACTATTAGTGGCTAACAACAGGGGGTGTGTAATGGCAGGCTATGTGATAACAAGGCCAGGTGTGTGAGGTAGGGGGCTGCGACATGGGAGAGTTTAGGCTCTAAAATTATTGAAATTGATATTGAGTCCGGAGGGCTGTGGGGTCCCCAAGTGGAAAATGAGGTGTTGTTCTTCCAGCTCGTGCTGAGCTTCACTGGAACACTACAGCAACCCAGAGACAGAGATGTTGGTCAGGGAACAGTGTGATGTGTTGAAGTGGGACGCAACTGGAAGTTCAGAATAAAAACCAAAAGAACTGCAGATGCTGTAAATCAGGAACAAAAACAGAAGTTGCTGGAAAAGCTCAGCAGGTCTGGCAGCATCTGTGAAGAAAAAATCAGAGTTAACGTTTTGGGTCCAGTGACCCTTCCTCAGAACTGATGGTAGCTGGGAAAATGTCAGTTTATATGCAGAGAATTAGGAGGTGCAGGGGGGTGGTGGGGAGTAAACGATAGGATAGAGCCCAAAGAGAGAGAAGAACAATTGGATAAACAAAGGAGTTAATAACGGTCAGGCTGGGAGGGTGAGTAGTTGTTAATGGGGACTGTTAGTGACTAACAACAGGGGGTGTGTAATAGCAGGCTATGTGGTAACAAGGCCTGGTGTGTGGGATGGGGGGCTGGGACATGGGAGAGTTTAGGCCCTAAAATTATTGAACTCAATATTGAGTCCAGAGGGCTGTAGGGTCCCCATGCGGAAAATGAGGTGTTGTTCCTCCAGCTTGCATTGGGCTTCACTGGAACACTGCAGCAAGCCAGAGACAGAGATGTTGGCCAGGAAGCAGGGTGGTGCATTAAAGTGGCAGGCAACTGGAAGCTCAGGGTTTTTTTTTTGCGATCGGAACGTAGATGTTCCGCGAAGCGGTCACCCAGTCTACACTTCAGTTCCCCAATGTAGAGGTGATCACATTGTGAGCAGTGAATGCAGTAGATTAGATTCTGGGAAGTGCAGGTGAAGTGCTGCTTCACCTGGAAGGTATGTTTGGACCCTTGGATTCTGGGGAGGGAGGAGGTAAATGGGCAGGTGTTGCACCTTCACCAGTTACAGGGGAAGGTGCCGTTGAGCTGTGGGAGGTGTTGGGGGTGAAGAAGGTGTGGACCAGTGTGTCCCGGAGGGAACGGTGCCCGCGGAAGGCGGACAATGGAAGGGAGGGGAATAAGTGTCTGGTGGTGGCATCTTGTGGGAGGTGGCAGAAATGGCGCCTAATGGTCTTCTGGATGTGGATGCTGATGGGATGGTAGGTAAGGATAAGGGGAACCCTATCACTGTTGTGGGAGGGAAGAGAGGGGGATGAGGGTGAAGTGCGGGAGATCGATTGGATCCAGTTGAGGGCCTTGTCGACAACAGAGCTGGGTAATCCTCGGTCGAAGAAGGAGGACATTTTGGAGGCTCCCTTGTCAAAGTTGGCCTCACCTGAACATATATGATATGGATATCTGGACTATACATCCTTGCACCCTGCTTCCTGTAAAGACTCCATCCCATTCTCTCAGTTCCTCTGTTTCCATCGCATAGGTTCAGATTAAGCCAACTTCAACAAGGGAGGGGGGTGGTCTACACATGCTCTGATGCGGTTGTTATTGTGCACAGTGAGACCAGCGATGCATCCATTGCAACAGTTTGGTGATTGGAGTAATTAGCATCAGATACTTTACTGATAGAACAACCTCTAACATCTTTTACAGCCTCAAGATCACGGAGAGAACTTTGTGGTTAATGTCTTACTCCACAGCCACTCAATTTGGTCAATTGCAGCTAATTTTCACACAGCAAGATCCCAACAACAGAATAGAATCATACAGCACGGAAACAGACCCTTCAGTCCAATTATGTTCCCAAACTAAACTCGTCCCACTTGCCTGCATTTGGTCCATACCCCTGTAAACCATTTGTATCCATGTACCTGTCTAAATGTCTTTCATGAGTTGTAACTGTACCTGCATCCACCACTTCCTCTGGCAATACATTCCATATACAAGCCATCCTCTTTGTGAAAAAGTTGCCCCTCAGGTGCCTTTTAAATTTTTCCTCTTTCATCTTAAATGTCCTCTAGATTTAAACTGCCCCATCCTAAGGAAAAGACGTTGCCTATTCACCTTATCTATGCCCCTCATGGTTTTATAAACCTGTATAAGATCACCCCTCGGTCTCCAATGCTACAGGGAGAAAAGTCCCAGGCTATCCAGCCTCTCCCTTTAACTCAAACCCTCCAGTCCCGGTAATATCCTGGCAAATTTTTTTCTGCACTCTTTGGCCAATTAAATTGTTTATTGAAGGTGAATATTGCCGTGCAATTGTAAATGAGACGATTGCCATTGGAATTCTGCTGTGTTCACAGTCTGTGTGTGTGGCATGATTTATCTTGCACTGTTTTGAGAGTGTAAAAACAAAAGAGAGAAAAATATTATGCGTTGGCACTGAGCCTGGTAGCAGGAGAATGAAACCATTAGAAGGTGACTCTGTTTGTGAGGGCAGAAACCATTCCATGTTTCTAATTTATCAAACTAACTAAATAGGTAACCCACAGCAACAGGAGCCCTGTGAAATGCTTGTGTCTTAATGGCTTAATGCTTCTGGCATATTGATGTACGTTAATCCCTCTGTTATTGAGAGTACATTTCTCCTTTTCAGGTTGGAGAGGGAGCTTGAATTACTGGAAAATGGCGAAATTGCCATCTCGAAAGAAAACAGCATTGAGGAGAAGCTGAAAACTGAGGAGAAGGTGCGTACCAAGGGGAAGATACAACAATGGAAAAGGGAAAGAGGCATGTCTGTCGTGAGTACGACCTCCATCTGAGAGATCAGTGCATTTGAAATACAGCAATATTTCCCTCTGCTTAAAAATAACATGGACCAGTTACGTTGGAGTGCCATGCTCAGGAATTGGGCCTCAATGTGATACAACCCCACGTCGATTAGGCTTGGGACCGGGATTCCTGCTGAGCCTCTCGTCCTCTGTGTGAAGAGGAGCAAATAAGAGGAAGTCCCAACCCAATGGAAACCGACCCTTCCCACAGGGAGAGGGAACATGGTGGGAGGGGGTTCAGTGGGAAGCTATGGTTCCTAGGTGATGGGAACTATCCTGAGGCGGTGAACAGCTCACTGTGACTTGAAGTGGCAGTTCTTAGAAAGTTTCTTCATTTTTAAACCACTGTGGCTCACCTTGCTGTATGTTAATCCACGATGTGTGCTCCAGTGCTTTTCCCCAAACAAGTACAATTTAACGGCGCCAGGAGATTCCCAATGGGAATGACACATGGAAAATCAGGAAGACCCATTGAGAGATGCCAGGCTGGGGAGGGTAGATGCCAGATGCCAATCTACAGGGACCCATATGCCAGTAAACAGCGATTAAAGTGTTCAAATGTTATTTCTTTCCAAACAAAGTTGCAACAATAGACACAATGGCACTGCTATGAGTGCAAACACCTGAAGCAATTCTCGATGTTTCCTAAGAGTTGGACAGGAGAGATTTACCAACCCCTCTGTTGATCTGCCTATTCACATCCTGAATCTCTGGACAGGAATATTCCTAAGTATTCCTAGGAATATTCCCTGCATATTCCTAAGTATTCGCATCCTCCAAGCTCCAGAGTGAGAAAGCAAGGTGGAAGGGGAGCTGTCTCACTCCCTGTGACAGTGTGTGAGGCTGCTATAGTCTTCAGCTGTGGTGATAGTGTTTGGTCGCTGGAAGGTTCTATAGACTGTAGTGCCCTGCACTGGGAGGGAATGGAGATGGGGACAGGGGGAGCTATTAAATTGTCAAATGTCCCCAGTCAGCTGATGTTCCCCTCAGTTCCACCAGTGAAATCAGGCTGACCCAAGCTGAGCAATCCCATCCAACCTGAGTCCCAATCCATCACAGGACAGCTCCACAATGCGATAGGCGTGCACCTCGTGACCAAAGACTCCTGCCCACTCTATCTGAGTTTTCCCTCTAGGCGCTGAGCCTCCCACATGGCCAGCTGGCCAAAATATTCTCCTCGGTATTAGACACAGAAGGCATTCTCACCTGGTCATCAGTGCTGCAGCCTGTTACATACACTTGACAAAGAGTTCACCAACCAATCAAGATGCGGCCTCACGTCACCGATCAAACATGGCACTGACCACTGCCAGTGTCGGAAAACAGCTCAGCGATTCTCTGTGTGTATGCTGGCTGGGAGTACAGCACTGTGCTGTCTCCGGGTGTGAGACGAGTATATAACATGCCCCTTCCACACAGGGAACTTTGCAGCTTCAATCCAGTTGTGGGAAGATATGGTTTTGAAGAGGCCATTCAGCCGTTCAAGGCATACTGTCATTCATTTGAATCCTGGCTGACCCTTATCTCCACCTCCATTCCCTGCTTTGATTCCATGCTGTTCACGAACAGGTTTCTGTATTTCACTGACCTTTGTGTATGTCATGCTTCCCAGCCTCACCTTTCACCCCATCAAACTACTGAAACTCCTCAGTCAGATCACTTTGTCACCCTCGACACACAGGCAATCCAAGCCATGTTAAAGCAACCCTCCAAATTTGTGGTGGACCATGTTGGATCATGGCTTGACTTTGGCCCCAGTTTCCTGGCAGGGTGGTTGCAGTAATAATCTCACTTCTGAGAGTCCTCCTCAAAGTGTTAAAAACCATCACTATCTTCCCCTCCGTTTCTATCAGCCAGGAAGTGAGAGATGTTCAAGGACATGTCTCCAAACTGGGGCCTCTTTAGTGTCCTTACTGTTCAGACCCTCTGCCCATTTACATCAGTCTCTCCAGCCTTAGCAATGACTCATTTTGGGTCATAATGCCACTGGAAGGTTACCACCCAGGTTAATGTTCTGCAGCTTTGAGAGCTGTTCCTGTGAGAGAACAGTGCCATTTGTCAAATAAGTATAACTTCAAATGACCATTAACATCCGTCTCATTACTCTCCTCACAGGTTTCTCCAAACAAAGACAGTGGTGAGTAGTTTCATTCATGACAATTTGAAACACTTGATACTAACTGTGAGGAGTGTGCAATGCGTCTATATGACTTCACATTTACTCTGTACAGCCTTCTTTCATTAGTCAGCTATAAGTACGAACAAAAGATCCAAAGCACGGACTTTGTAGAAAATACAGTGGAATTTGATACTCCTCATTAGAATCCAGTTACAACAAAAAGACATTTCCTCATCATGAGAAAAAATTGTTTACATCCCCATTACAGCAGCAAAGAGATCCCAGGCCATCATTATATTTTGGCAGAAACACCTTAGACTGTGGTCTTTCCTTCAGGTTAAACACACAGCCTCACTGGGGTTGATTGTATCTGCTTCTGGCAGCTATTCCAGGGCTCAGACCGATTGAGTATCTGTTACAGTGACCCTCTATCAGTTGGACTTGATGAGAATGTAAAGCAGCTTGTAAACAGCAGCCGATTATCACCACACTCCCACCCAGCACACAAATACTATCGGCCAACTATAAGGTGCAATCTTCTTCGATTGTTTTTAAAGAAATGTATACAGAGGGGTAACAGAGCAGCAGTTACACTCTCCCCCCAGCTTGAAGCTTATTGCTGTGAGTAAGCAAATATTAATCATGTTAACTCATGAACTCCAGCTATGGACAGGTGTAAATTGGTTAATTAAACAAGATTAAATCAGCAATTTCCCTCTTGATTTTCACTTCCAATGGAGGGTCTAAGTGGTGCTGTGGTAGTGTCTGTACCCATGGATCAGGAGGGCCAGATTCAAGTCCCACATGCTCCAGAGGAGTGTAATAATATCCCTGGACACATTGATTTGACAATGTCTCTCATTCCCTTTGAGTTTTCTAATACTAACTAAACAGAACTTCCAAAGTAACTGTCTGAAAAGCATTTGTTTGTTAGGAAGTGTGCTGTTGGTCATAAAGTTAAAGATCACCTGATTACATCACCCACATCAAATTACTGACACTCACAATGCCTTTAGAGGGAGGTGGGCACCGTGGGGGCTGGAGTATAATATTTTTCTCTCCAGCTCATTTCTCATTTAGTCCCCGCCCTCTTGTCCTCTTGTAGTGGGCAGTGCTTGTGAAGTGTTAATGTGAAAATGTTAATGTAAATGTGAATGCATTGGACAGTGCCAAGCGATTTATAATTGTGGTCCCAGGAACTCCAGTCATGAGGATTAAAAAAGACAGGACTGTTCTCCTTGGAGAGAAGAGGCTGAGATGAGACCTTTGAGAGGGTTTCAAAATCAGGAACGAGCTGGATAGAGTAGGTCGGGAGAAATGATTCCCACTTGTAAAAGGAACAAGAATGAGAGGGACATAAAATTAAAGAGATGTGCAAATGATACAAGGATGAAGCAAGGAAATATTTTTCACTCAGCGATTGTTAGGGTGCGGAATGCACTGCCTGGAAATGAAGTTCAGTTGAGACATTTGAGAGGATATTGGGTGGTTATTTGGTTAGAAATGGGGTGCAAGGATATCAGAAAAGGGCAGGAAATTGGCACTAGAGAATAGAACTGGTGCAGGTCTGATGGGCTGAATGGCCTCCTTCTGTGTGATTCCATGATGAATGTTTAGTTGTTTTCATTTGTCAGTTTGGTGGTGGGTTTAAAAGCTGGATTGGCATCAATGGCATGACACAGGTCGGCAAAGGGATGTCCTTGCAGAATGGGTTAGGCTTAGATGGGCAGAATGTCCAGGTTCGGCTGCTGTATGCACAGGAGACTAGGGGAGCTATTTTCATGGAACTCCAGGATATTGGGATTGTATTCCAAAGACCAGGAACCAGCCACCCCGGAAAGCGAGGATGCACATGTGAAGCTCAGCTCCGGTCCCAGAATCCGGGATCATCTCCATGAGGAGAGCCGAGTATTGGGAAAGGGAGAGGGAGAAATTAAGGATACAAACAAGCAACAGTCAGAGTAAGCAGGCTACAGACAATGAAGGCCAAAGGTGGGAATAGAACCAGTAAGTGTGAGTCTTACAGAAGGTGTTTCAGTGAGTGGGGCTAAAGAAGGAGTCGGAACTACACAGGCTTATGGTTAAGGCTGGAGGAGGCAGCAAAGGTAGGATTGTGTTAAAACTTGTGGAGGCATTTGTGAATGAGGCTCAAGGTTCTGGATTCAACGTGTCGGGGACAGGAAGAGATGAAATGAACTAAAGCCAGAAATTACTGAAAATCCTTAAGAGGCCAGAGAGGATAGAGAAATAGAATGAATATTTTAAGCTAATGGTCTTTTACCAGAACATCTGAGAGCTCAGATAGTTGAGTAGAAACAGGGCTAGAGAGTTAAATTTGAGCAGCCCTCTTAGCTAGTAGTGTTCTTGTTGTGTTCAGTTTTGAGGTGGGCTCCCTAAGGAATAACTCTCTGATAATGTGGTTGCCCTGCAGTGCCAGTAGCTTTGCAGACTGTGTAATTATACCCTGTGTGCCCATGTCTGGTCTAGACTAACCGGTTCCAAGGCAGATTACTACCCAACAATAAACCATCAAGCTGGGAGCTTGATACACCTGCTGCCAGGTGAGATCGGCAGTCAACACTGCGAATACACCATCAAACTCAGGCTCATGTCACACCATTCATTTACCAGCTCATTCCTGGGGGGGCCAGGGGGTGGAGTTTTCACAGCACTCTCACTCTATCTTTATCTCTCTGGGGTTAATCTTCGTTGGTTGTGTAAAGCAGGTGATCACAACTTGGCAGCCTGCTTTACATCCATCAACAAAGTTACATCTACTCCTCTCTCACTGACTCGGTCAGCCCCATTCTGTCTCTCTTCACTAATGCTCTCTCACTCAGTCTCTCTATTTCAATTCCGTTTCTATCCCTGTCTCTCTTCACTAACTCTCTCTTTTTCTATTTTCCTCTATTCCTCTTTTCTCTCTTCCTGCATTTCTGATGTAGCTCTTACCTTTATCCCTCCAGGCCTATCTAATTCTCTCCATTTTTCCCTCTCTAGTTCTCTCTATCTCTCCGATGATCTCTCTCTCTGTTCCTGTCCCTTCTCTAGTCTCTTGAATCAGCAGACAGTGCATGAACACTGCACCACACTCAGTGTTTCCACAATTCAAATATGCAGACACATTCACAGGGATCACACAGTGAACAATCTAGAACTGGGAACTCTGTACTCCCCACTAGTCTGGGTTCCTGCTCGGTGTGTAGAACTGATAATCTCAAACTCATCCAATGGCTTCTATTTCCTCCTCTTCATGCAAACCCAATTGTAATAACTGGATTGCATGAAATCAGTAGGTTAGCAGCTCCATTCAGATAGGAAGTGCAGAGGGAAAAGATAGTCATACACCAGTGACACCTGTAAATGAAGGTACTGGTTATACTGGAGCACTGTTCTGACGTGTACAAGGCAATGTGCATCATTCTCAAGTTTTACTGGGTTTTCATTAAGTCACAGACACATGATAAACAAGCCAAAACATTGCCCACAATCATTCCTGAGCATCTTCCAACAAATTACTAAGGAAATCATGAGTGGTATAGATAAGCTGAATAGCAAAGGGCTTTTCCCTAGGGTGGGGTAGTTCAAAACTAGGGGGAATATTTTTAGAGTGAGAGGAGAAAGTTTTAAAAAGGACACAAGGGGCAACTTTTTTACACAGAGGGTGGTTCGTGTGTGGAATGAACTGCCAGAGGAAGTGGTGGATACAGGTGCAGTTAGAACATTTAAAAGATTATTGCATAAGTTCATTGATAAGAAAGATTTGAAGGGATGTGGGCCAAATGCAGACAGGTGGGACTAGTTTACTTTGTGAATAAGGTCAGCATGGACTGGTAGGACTGAAGGGTCTGTTTCCATGCTGTATGGCTCTATGACACTGTGACATTAAATGTGGGAGTGCTATAACTCATAGCCTGCAGTAAAAACTAAAAATAACATCTAATGCAGCCTGACTGGGCGATCCTCTGTTTAGAGTCTTTGTATGCCCTACAGACTTTATCGTGTATAAACAGGAAAATCTCACTGAGGATTAACATACACATTAGGCCCTTTTTGCAGTCTTCAAACATATCAGAACCTTTGCTACCATTAAACTTCAGCAAAGTATAAAGTTCCCTTGTGAAAGGATACTTTATTTACAGTGACCACTACCACGAACTTTTAAGATGACCTCAGATTGGAACCTTTGAACCTGGCACGTTGGTCGATTGAGTGCCACGATCTTAGTTTAACAAATTAAGGTGTTGAGATAACCCAGAGATGGCTCTGTAACACATGGGAACCACCCAGTCCTGTCAGCCCGTCTAATTCCACCTTACTCTGTTCACAGAGTTGGCAAAACATCACAGCAGCCCATTGGTCAACAAGCCTGAAGGAAGCACGGAGAAGCTGAAAGCTGGTAAGAGCGTCTAGTAACTAATAACTAGTAACTAGTAACCAGCTGCACCCAATTGACCTGCTCTGGGGTGTACATCTTAACATGAGACCAGGGGGACCAACTCTGATGAAGCAAAATAAAGGTCAGCTTGATCGTGGGCCCAAGAGAGGGGCCAGCTGGTGACTAATTGAGCGTGAGTGGATGAGAATGGAGGATGTTTAATGCAGTACTTTTACAACGTATCTTGAGGAGTTATAGATTCTTCGCAATGCTGGCTCGCACACAGACATGTCGTCACAGGCTCCCACAGTCTGTTCTAGAAATATAAGACAGGAACAGGGAATGGAACAGGCTAAATAACAGGGAAAAACTTAAGGAACAGGGAAAACCTTAAGGAATTGGAAAAAAAAACAAGTAAAGGATCAGTAAACCCTTAAGGAACAAATTAAAGTACAGTTGTGTAACTCACTCAACAACATTTTAATGCCTGATTCATTAAAAAAAGTGACAATCTTTGAAATGTCACAGTGATTATTGAGCATAAAGCAGCTGTAACAAGGGCTTAAATCAGCATTGCAGAAAGATTTACTCAATGCCCACTTGAAAATTAGGGTAAAACACTTCCCAGGCTTTCCCAGCAGCACCCTAAAGTCTGCATTAGGCCCATTACAATCATCCTCTCTAGATCCTCCCCACCAAGGGTCACATTGGGCAGCATCAACTAGGCAGGCATTGGGCCCACTCAGAGCAGGGTACTTCAGCAGGACCCCATCAAACTATGTCCGTCATTCCTCAGGGCAGTCCCTTCAGTGCTGCTGGGAGCAGACTGGGTCGAAAGGCCACTGGATTCATGCCATCCCACAATCTCATCATGATTAGGTCTTCAACTGTCTCACAACAAAATACCTGAAGGAAACCATCGATAGAAAAGGTGCAGGAGGAGAGAGAACATTCTGGATCAGACCAGGATTACATATAACATACATATAAGGTCAGAGAGTATAAGAAAAAGATTGAGACACCAATGTGGCACTTTCCCCAAAACCACACACCAGCCCCCCAACACATAGATACACACACACACACACACGCATACACAACTATATATTCACACATATATATACATTCACATACACATACATTCACACTCACGTATATATATTCACATGCACACACACACATACACCCCCAATATATTCTCTCTCTCACACGCACACACCCACATATATATACATTCACACACACATACATTCACACGCACGTATATATATTCACACACACGCACACACATACACACCCCATATATTCTCTCTCACACACACACGCACTCACATTCAATGAACTGAGGAGTGGCAGATGGAATTTAATTTGGATAAATGTGAGGTATTGCATTTTATTGAAACAAACAAGGACAGGACTTATGCGATTAATGGTGGGGCCCTGGTTAGTGCTGTAGAACAGAAAGACCTAAGAGTTCATGAACATAATTCCTTGAACTTTGCATCTTAGATAATCAGGGTGGTTAAGGAGGCATTTAGCACACTTGCCTTCATTGTTCAGACCATTGACTATAGGAGTTGGGATGTTATGTTGAGATTGTACAGGACATAGGTGAGGCCACTTCTGGAGTAATGTGTGCAATTCTGGTCGCTCTGCTCTAGGATATTATTAAAGTGGAGAGGGTTCAGAAAAGATTTACCAGGATGTTGCTGGGACTGGAGAGTTTGAGTTATAGAGTTTGGATAGGCTGGAACTTTTTTCACTGGAGCATAGCAGGTTGAGGGGTGACCTTATAGAGGTTTATAAAACCATGAGGGGTATAGATAAGGTGAATAGCAAAGGACTTTTCCCTAGGGTGGGGGAGTTCAAAACTAGGACGCATATTTTTAAGGTGAGAAGAGAAAGTTTTATAAAGGACACAAGGGGCAACTTTTTTTTACACAGAGAATGGTTAGTGTGTGGAATGAACTGCCAGAGGAAGTGGTGGATGCAGGTACAGTTAGAACATTTGAAAGACATTTGGATAAGTACATGAATAGGAAAGGGCTGGAGGGATACGGGCCAAATGTGGCAAGTGGGACCAGTTTAGTTTGGGAAACCTGGTCGGCGTGGATTAGTTTGACTGAAGGGTCTGTTTCCATGCTGTGTGACTCTATGACACACATGTCTATATATATACAGACACATACACGCACATACATATTCACACACACACATATATATTCATACGCATACACACGTATATATATTCTCACACACAGACACATATTCAAATGTTTAAACACATGCTTGCATGTACAGTCATGTGTATATGAAGATACACATGTTCACACATGTACTCCCAAATTTAGGACGTGCAGCATGTCCATAATACACATTCACGCCAACGCACTCTCGCACTCAGACCCATATATCCAGAAACCCCCAGCCAAGCTCACGTTCAGAGAAACGTGCAAACACATACCACTCCAGCTACCTCAGCTGCTCCCACTCATACACATTTACAAAATCTATCAACTGGTCTTGGGTTTCCAGTAACATCATCAGATGAAAATGCACCTTTCATATTACGGAGAGAATGTTTTCAAACATTGGGGTGAAACTCCTTGCAGAACAGCACTGTGGGTGTCCCTACACCATCAGGACTGCAAGAGTTCACTACCTCCTTAAGGGCCTTAGGAATGGGCAATAAATGCTGGCCCGGCCAGTGCCACACTCATCCCATGAAATAGTAAATGCAAAGACATTCACACAGCTCAGTCAAAGTTCAGGGCCAGTGTACCTTCGGTTTTATCTTGTAGTGCATAGGCCCTTTGAATATTATTGTGTGAGTTTCAGAGCAGCCTTGTAAGACTTGTCAGCTCACTACACAGCCTTGCAGTTTCACACAGGTCTCACTCCTGGTAATTCAGGTCATCACTGCATTTGGGAAATCCTACCTGTCCATGTAAGGGCAGAGTCTTCACCTTGTCCAGAGAGATCAGAGGTCAGGGGTCAGAGAGTCTTCACCCTGTCCAGAGGGTCAGGGTCAGAGTGTCGTCACCATCCCCACAGAGTCATGGTCAGTGGGCAGATATGAGAACCAATGGCAGGGACTCACGCTCCCTAGTCCTTATGACTAGTACTTGTTAAAATGAGACATATTGATTTACAATTTGTTACCCTAAGAAACAATGTGCGAGGGTGAAAAAGCAGGGAGCAGCCCAAAGGGGGCATTAGCTGTGGGATATTAGATAGGGGATATTAGTAATATTAAATAAGGGATTATGCGATAGTTATGCAATATTAGATAGTGGATTTTAGATAGGGGACATTAGAGAGGAGGTATTAGGGAATATTTGTCAATGGAGATTAATTAGTGGATATTAATTGGCAGATATTAGTTAGTAGGTATTATCAGATATTAGTTAGCCGATATTAACTGGGGGATATGAGATAGGAATATTCAAGCCTGAACTCCCACGTGTTGTTAGAGGGAATCCTGAGGGAGATAATTTACAAGTATTTGGAATGGCAAAGACTGATTAGGGATAGTCAACATTGCGTTGTGTGTGGAAGATCATGTCTCATGAACTTGATTGAGTTTTTTGAAGAAACAATGAAGAGGATTGATGAGGGCAGTGTGGTGGACTGGTTAGCAAGGTCAGATCACACAGAATTGAGGGAGAACTATCTATTCGGATACAGAGATAACAAGGTGTACAGCTGGGTGAACACAGCAGGCCAAGCAGCATCAGAGGAGCAGGAAAGCTGACGTTTTGCGTCTGGACCCTTCTTCAGAAATGGGGGAGGGGAAGGGAATTCTGAAATAAATAGAGAGAGAGCGGGAGGCAGATGGAAGATGGATAAAGGAGCAGATAGGTGGAGAGGAGACAGACAGGTCAAGGAGGCAGGGATGGAGCCAGTAAAGGTGAGTGTAGGTGGGGAGTTAGGATGGGGGTTGGTCAGTCCAGGGAAGACGGACAGGTCAAGGAGGCGGGGATGAGGCTGGTAGGTAGGAGGTGGGGGTGGGGGTTGAGGTGGGAGGAGCGGATAGGTGGGAGAAAGGACGGAGAAGTTAGGGAGGTGGGGATGAGCTGGGTTGGTTTTGGGATGCCGTCGGGGGGGTGGGGAGATTTTGAAGCTTGTGAATTCCACATTGATACCATTGGGCTGCAGGGTTCCTAAGCGAAATATGAGGTGCTATTCCTACAACCTTCGGGTGGCATCGTTGTGGCAGTGGAGGAGGCCCAGGATGGACATGTCGTCCAAGGAGTGGGAGGGGGAGTTGAAGTCAACTTGTTGGTAGTGGAATGTTGCTTTTCAGACTAGAGTCCTGTGACCGTTGGTGTGCCACAAGGATCGGTGCTGGGTCCTCTGCTTTTTGTCATTTGTATAAGTGGTTTGGATGTGAACATAGGAGGTATGGTTAGTGAGTTTGCAGATGACACCAAAATTGTAGGTGTAGTGGACGGTGAAGAGGGTTACCTCAGAGTACAATGGGATCTTGATCAGTTGGGCCAATGGACCAAGGAGTGGCAGATGCAGTTTAATTTAGATAATTGTGAGATGCTGCATTTTGGAAAGGCAGATCAGGGCAGGACTTATACACTTATTGGTAAGGTCCTGGGGAGTGTTGCTGAGCAAAGAGACCTTGGAGTGCAGGTTCATAGTTAATTGAAAGTGGAGTCGCCGATAGTGAAGAAAGCGTTTGGTATGCTTGCTTTTATTTGTCAGTGTATTGAGTATAGGAGTTGGGAGGTCATATTGCAGCTGTTCAGGATATTGGTGAGACCACTATTGGAATATTGTGTGCAATTCTGGTCTCCCTGCTATAGGAAAGATGTTGTGAAACTTGAAAGGGTTCAGAAAAGATTTACAAGGATGTTGCCAGGGTTGGAGTATTTGAGCTACAGGGAGAGGCTGGATAGGCTGGCGATATTTTCCCTGGAGCATCAGAGGCTGAGGGATGACCCTATAGAGGTTTATAAAATCATGAGGGGCATGGATAGGGTAAATAGACAAGATATTTTCCCCAGGGTGGGGGAGTTCAAAACTAGAGGGCACAGGTTTAAGGTGAGAGGGGAAAGATTTAAAAGGGATCTAAGAGCCAACTTTTTCATGCAGAGGGTGGGGCATGTGTGGAATGAGCTGCCAGAGAAAGTGGTGGAGGCTGGTACAATTACAACATTTAAAAGGCATCTGGATGGGTACATGAATAGGAAGGGTTTAGAGGGATACGGACCAAATTCTGGCAAATGGGACTAGATTTATTTAGGATATCTGGTTAGCATGGACGAGTTGGACTGAAGTGTCTGTTTCCAATGCTGTATATCTCTATAAATCCATGTTCCACCTCAAGGGGAAAGCCTCGTAGTTTTATTGATGGACTGTTAATGCAAAGACCCAGATAACATTGTGGGCACCCAGGTTCAAATCCTGCCATGGCAAATGGTGAAATTTGAATTCAATAAATATCTGGAATTAAGAGTCTAATGATGACCATGAATCCATTGTTTGAAAAACCCATCTAGTTCACTAATGCCCTGTAGGGAAGGAAACTGCCATCCTTACCTGGTCTGGCCTACATGACACACAACAATGTGGTTGACCCTTAACTGCCCTCTGGACAATTAGGGATGGGCAATAAATGCTGGCCTGGCCAGCAACACCCTCAACCCATGAATGAAATTTAAAAAATACTAGATTTCTTGCAGCATTCTGAAGCACATTTGCTATAAAGGACATGTCCTCAAGCTGACCCTGGCTCCTGAAAGCCCCTGTGATGATCGGCTGCTCCTGACTTTCCAGGTAAATCTGTTTTGCAGAGTAGCCAGCCCACCCAATCCCAGACCAGACTGTGCGATTTTCTGAAGAAGGGTCTAGGCCCAAAACGTCAGCTTTCCTGCTCCTCTGATGCTGCTTGGCCTGCTGTGTTCATCCAGCTCTACACCTTGTTATCTCAGATTCTCCATCATCTGCAGTTCCTATTATCTCTGTGCGATTTGGCCAGTTTCAAGCTGCTGATTTAGTGGTAATGTCTGCCACCTGCTGGAGCTCGGCTGGTACTGCTGGACAGCCCAACAAGCAATCGCAAACTGCAGTGATGAATTCTGGGACTGACAGGTAGTGGGAGAGTGAGAGGGAATGAGAGAGTGAGAGGGTGTGAGCAAGTGAGAGGGATTGGGAGAATGACAGGGAGTGCCAGGGAGTGGGAGAGTGCCAGGGAGTGGGAGAGTGACTGGGCATGGGAGAGTGACAGGGAGTGGAGAGATCATTAAGGGAGTGAGGCGGTCAGGGGGAGGATATGCCTTTTATGGCAGCACGAAGTTTAATTTAGAAACATTGGCAGTCTGATCCCAATTTCCTGTGCAGCGTCGCTTTCCAGTAGTTACTTTTAATCATATCCTTAACCAGTGTGCTCAGAAAACTAACTCCAACTCCAACTAACTAACTCTAACTCAAACTACAATCGGGAGGAAGAAGCTATCTCTCTGTAAAAGTACCACTTAGATTTTTAATTGGTTCATTGTATTATGTTTCCTCTGTGCAGTAATAATTACAAGCACCATTCTATTGAAACAGAGCCTGGAAAAGAAAATACTGAGACCTGACCTCGTACAAATCACAAGACCATAAGATATTAGCCATTTGGCCCATTGAGTCTGTTCCATCATTCGATCATTGCTGACATTTTTCTCAACCCCATTCTCCTGCCTTCTCCCATAACCCTCGATACACTTACTAATCAAGAACCTATCTATCTGCCTTAAATATACTCAATGACTTGGCCTCCACAGCCCTGTGTGGCAATGAGTTCCACACATTCACCACCCTCTGGCTGAAGAATTTCCTCCTCATCTCAGTTCTAAAGGGTTGTCCGTTTGCTTGGAGGCTGTGCCCTCAGGTCCTAGTCTCAGAGCTCCTTAAGATGACTGCCCAATTTTATAGAATAGACAAAACAAACATAAATCACTTGGATGCCACCCCTACTGCTCTTCAAATAATGAAATAACTCACAAATACTCCATAGACTGCACCTCCCAAACCCCCATCTTCTATTAACTAGAAGCACAAGGGCAGCAAATTGCCCACCTCCCATCCCCCCAGACAATTTCTCCTCCTAGTCACACACCATCCTAACTCGGAACGATATCACCGTTCCTTCTCTGTCACTGAGCAGCGAGGAGACGTAGGCCATTCAGCCCTTCAAACCTGTTCCACCCTGCAACAAGATTATAGTTGATCTGATTGTAACCTCAAATCCCATTCCCACCTACTCCCCAAGAACCTACCACAAAACACCACCCCCGCCAACCGCTCCCCCCCCCCCCGCTATTCTTAACAAGACTCTATCTACCTCTGCTTTAAAAAATATTCAACGATTCTTCTTCCACTGCCTGGTCAAGAGGAGAGTTCCAAAGACTCGCAACACTCTGAGAGAAAAAAGAGTTTACCTCATCTTTTTAGAAAGAGATTCCATTTCAATGGGTGGGTCAGTTTAAAACTACAGGTCAGAAATATCAGAGCCAGAGCAACCTGGAGATTCCTGTACTTATTGGGGTGATCTAGTGAGACAGTGGTGATTAAGGTAATGTGGGTCCTTGAGTTTCATACACTGGGTTATTGAGAACAAAAGCAGGCAAGTTACGCAGGTCCCTTATAAAGCTCTAGGGGGATCTTAAATGAAGAATCACACCCAGTCCTGTTCACTACTGTTTAGGAAGGATGTGAAGGTCCTTGAGACACTGCTATGGAGATTTACTGGAACAGTTCCATGGATCGAGGATGTTAGTTACAAGATTCGGTTGGAGATGTGTCTGGAATAAAGGGGAGATCTGATCGAGGTCTAAAAGTTGATGACAGGGTTAGATAAGATGGTCAAAGAGAATTTGTCCCATTAGCTGATGGTCCAATGACGAGGGGACACAGATCAAAGATTTTAGGACAGAGATACAGAAAGCAACAATGGCGTGGAGCTGGCTGCCAATGAGAGCAGTGGATTCAGAGGAGATTAGTAATGTCAGAAGATAATTGGATGGACATTTGTAACAGGGTCGTGTGGATGGAGTGAGGGAATAGCACGATTGCTTCATAGAGTCAGTGTAAACTTGATGGATAGAATGTCCTCCTCTGTGTAATAATGACTCTATTACTCCATAAATCGAAGTCAACCAGGACTCAGAAGTGGCAATCTGGTCCTTAACCTTTCAGGTTCTAACTTTCAGCCCCACTGCAGTCACTTGAGCTTGTAGATTGTGATGAAAATACTGTGAGGTATGGTGCTGAGGGAGTGCTGCACTGTTGAAGCTGCAGTTGTTTCAATGAAGGCCTAATCTCAAGCCTGATTTTCACTTTCAGGTCAATGTGGAAGACCAAATCGGTTTTTCTTTTCATCGTTCATGGGATGTGGGTGGTTCAATTCCACCCTCAGGTGACTGTCTGTGTGGAGTTTGCACATTCTCCCCGTGTCTGCGTGGGTTTCCTCCCACAGTGCAGGCTAGTTGGGTTAGCCATGGGAAATGCAGGGTTACAGGGACAGGGCAGAGATTGGGTCTGGGTGGGGTGCTCTTCGGAGTGTCAGTGTGGACCCAATGGGCCGAATGACTATTAATTGCCCTCGGGAGTGAGCCAGGTTCTTGAACTGCAACAGTCCATGGGTTGTGGTCATCCCCAGTATCGTTAAGAAGGGAGTTCCAGAATTTTGACCCAGCGACACCGAAGGAACAGTTCAGGGTGATGTGTGACTTGGAGGTGAACTTGCCAGGAGGTGGTGCTCCCCTGCATTAGCTGTGCTTGTCCATCTACCTGACAAGAGGATGTGGGTTTGGAAGGCGCTGACTAGGGAACGTTTGAGAGTTTTTACGTTTTATTAACCGGCACTTATGGGACCAGGCTTTTTTTTTTTTTGTGCCGGTTGATCAATATTCCGGATAATCGAAAGGTATGTATATTTGAAATACGGGTAATAGAAACATAACGTCATTTCTGTACTTTATTTCCAGCGTTAATCACTTAAATAATGATGCAACTTTGCCTTAAATAAAACCTTCCGGTAGAGAGCCTTCCCACTCGCACGATCACCTAACTCCTCGCACATTGCGATAAAACGTTACACATCCGGTATTTCCAGTCTTATACGTTGCCCGTTCATCAAGAGTTAAGGTCACAAGGTGCCGGTTAAAACAAAGTTTGCCGTCGTTCGGTATTTGAAGAGCTGTAGCGGGAGGGATTTACTCCTTTGGATAACGGGGCCATTGCAACCAGTCCTTAACATGCGGTTACTCTGCTCTTTGCTACTTATTTGCTAACATTCAGCTCCTTTTGTTGTTGGCCAGCGATGTTTGCGGTGGAAATTACCGTGGAAAAGGACAATGTAACAGGAGAGACCAAAGTCCTGTCCACCAGTAGTGTGTCTCCCAAGAACCTCATGCAGCAAGGGGTCAAGGTCTACGAGGACGACCTCAAGGTGATCCATGAGATGCGCAAAGGTGACGGAGCGGTGGAGAATGGAGTCCACCTTCTCAGTACCACCGAGGTGGACGAGCTGATGCAGAAGGCTGACAAGGTGACAGACTACCACAAAGTACTGGCTCCAGAGGGGAAAGGACCTCATGGCCAGCTCCAGGCTGACAGTCAGACCCCTGAGAAGCTAAAGGCAGATGGGATGGCCGGAGAGAACCTTAAAATCCTTCAGAAAACCCTGGGAGATGGCGCGGAGCCCAGCAAAGACCAGCCCGTGACCATGATCTTCATGGGCTACCAGGACGTCGAGGATGAGAACGAGACCAAGAAGGTGCTTGGGTACGACGGAACGGGCAAAGCAGAGCTGGTGGTGATCGAGGATGGTGACAGCAAGAGCGAGAGGCCACCAGAGAGCCAGGCCCCTCCAAACGGCACAGCCGCTGCCCAGGGCACCGAGGAGAAGGCAGACGGGAAGGGCAAAGAGGCGGTAGACGAGGTAGAGGATTTGAAGGAGAAGCAACGCTGTCAGTGCTGCATTGTGATGTGATCATGTCCTGTCTTATCCTTCTTATTGTACAGTCGGAATGTTATATGTTCATAGTCTTCAGATGCACTGTATGTCTTCTAACGTAACACATGCTTTAATTGGGGATGCAAGGATTGCAGCCAATCCATCACAACTTAGCAAAGACCTGCATTTTCATTGGCATTCAGTCGGGGCCTAAATAAAAGCTGAGAGCTGATTGGCTGAATGGTACCCTAAACATCATCCTATGAGTACAGTTGAGGTTCACTGAATCTACCTTGGCGATGACATGATGGTGCTGTAATGTCCTGTTACATATGTCCACGAGCAATGTGGGAGCTGTTATAAATAAGCCATGGGCAACCCTTTCTCAAAGCAGAAAGAAAACAAACTCACAATTGAACCCTTTCCAGTGACACTTATTCAAGCTGTTGGGCAGGGAGCAGTGTTTATCTGTGATCAAAGGTTGGTAAGTCAGCAGACCCAGAGCTCATCAATGACTTAAACTATGTCCTTTAAAAGTAGCCCATAGAATCATAGAATCCATACAGTGTGGAAGCAGACCATTCAGCCCATCAAGTCCACGCTGACCCACCAAAGAGTAGTCCACCCAGGCCCACCCTATCCCTTTAACCCTACATTTCGCAAGGCTAACCCACCTAGCCTAAGTATCTCTGGGCACTATGGGCAATTTCCCATGGCCAACACATCTTTGGACCTTCTTTTCTTTCATTGTCCCTCACCAAAAGTGAACAGTTGGGAGGAGGGACTTAAACAGTTTCAAAAAGGGTAGAGTAGTCAAATTCAAACATGAATAAAGTTCTAATTTGAAAATGGACAGAATGAAGGCCTCACAACCAGAAAGAAAATGGATGGGTGGATTGAATTATTTTAGTTCTCTCAAAATCCGATTTTAATTGTGTCATTTTGTCGTTGGGGCATAGCGTTACAGTAATAAAGCCAAGTCTACCATTATCTTAGCATCGACATTACTGTAAATGTGTTTTGTATTTTAGTTAATCTCATTATACTATTAACCCAGAGACCCCAGTAATTTTCTGGATACCCAGGTTTAAATCCTGCCATGGCTGATGGTGGAATTTGAATTCAATAAAAATCTGGAATTAGGAACCTACTGATGGGTCATGATGATCATTGTGGATTGTTGGAAATAACCATCTGCTTCACTAAGGTCCTTCAGGGAAGGAAATTGTCATCCTTACCTGGTCTGGCCTGTGCATGATTCCAGACCCACAGCGATGTGGTCAACACTTAACTGCCCTCAGGGAAATTAGGGAGGAGTAATAAATTCTGGCCTAGCCATTGACACCCTCATCCTGTGAATGAACTAAAATAACCCTCAACGGAAAACAGACTAAGTCAGCCAAGGGGGATGTTTCTGGGAATCTGTTAGTAATGTAAGGGTTAAAAAAAGACATAGTAAAAACTCATGATAAAACTTTTTCATCAAATTCATTCTTCTGTCATCTGGTCAACCTGGAAACTGGACTGTACACAAATTCATGATGTTTGGTATTCGCTTCATTGCAATGAGTCCCACCTTCTCTCTTCCAAGTCATATCAATGTGAATGAGTTCCGTCCTTTATTGAGCCACAGTGCCGTTGAGTTCGATCTCTCTACTTCATGGTAATATATGATGCCTTAAATGATCCGAATAAGCAAAAATAAAGTAATGTCGATACTGTCGTTTGGTCATTTTGGATCGTAACCAGTTTGCCAAAGAGGTTATGATGTCTTGCAGAAAACCTGTTGCTGGACAAACATGGTGGGGTTAATGGATAAATATTCAGCATCATGGAGCAGGGGGACCCCTGCTGTTAAGTAATGGGCTAGATTGTTCACAAGAACCCCTGAAACTAGATTAATGCTAGTTTTTGTCCGACATGCCTTTTTTTACTTCTTACTGCTCAAGCCACAGTTTTAGTGAAATGACACCAGTAATTCCTCCAGAGACAGGAATCATTTGACTGGATTCCTTCAGAACGTGTACTGCTTAGTCCATTTTTCCAGAACATGCATTGACTAATCTTTAGCCAAGCACTGAACTCATATCTTAGACATACAAGATGGTTGACCACTGAATTTTCATTAATTTTGAATGACTCTGTTAATCTATATATACTGTCAATGTTAAATCAACCTTTGGTTTTTCTACATTGAGATTTCGGTCTGATCAATGTCAAACTGGCAGCTGAGATCTTTTAATCAGCTTGAAAATTTGTCTGTACAGTTTGGATTTTCTGAATCATTGCATCCCTAATTTTGAAACACTTTTGTACATCACACTTAGTCTTGAACCAGATCAATCTATCCTTTACACTGCCAGTCACCATGCACTACTCTCAGCGTATATGTATGATGTGATACAATGGGACAATTTTATTTTTCTCTGCATGTTCTGTAGTTCCAAGCTGATTACAGATCATTGTGAAAGCAATTAACTGATGGTGTTCTTTGTTAATCCTACTGCAATCTGTCTGCAATTCTTTTTTACATCTATCCAAAGGGTTCAATGAGACTAGAGACCGATTGTAACACTGCTACTTTGGTGAAGATTCTCAGTCCACTTTCTGCTCCAGATGGTAATTAAATCAAATCTGAATCGACCATTTATCTAGATTCAAGATTCAAATACAAGTGATGTCATACAAACCTTAGTGATTCCTCAATCACTCTAAATCCAATCCGGATTAAATCTGACCTGTGCAAATACCCAAACTTGAATTTACACAGGAGCACCACTTGAAGCTGTGGAACTGATTGTCCCTGAGCTGAGTTCACTGTGTGAATGTGTGAGCTGAAGTGCCTGCTTGTTTCTACCTATGTGTTTTTGTGTTTCTTAGTATGTGCGTAGTGTGTGTTTGAATAAAGCTGTTTATGCATTTGCCTGTATGAACGTGCTTGAGTCCACCTGTACTTACCTGTTTATGTAGACACCTGTGTCTATGTAAGTGTGTGTGAGATTTTGTTTGTGTGTGCGAGTTTGCCTGTAAACAGTCTGTCTAGTCTGCTTGTGGTGTGTGTGTGTGTGTGTGTGTGTGTGTGTGTGTACAAGTGTGTACGAGAGTGTGCTTGTGTGAGAGAGAGTAACTCAGAAATACTGGGAACTCACTTTTCATTTCTCTCATGTTCCCGGTCACATTATTGTTTCCGTGGTGATTCCAGGCATTACCAAAGACTGCACCAAATGATGTTGCTACGAAAGTTGTTTTTATTGTTTTCATTTATTGAAAATGGGAGAAAGCAAGACAATCAAATTTCTTTAAAATGGTTTCCCCATTTTGTTGGTCTCCATGAACTATAATTGAAAATGCCCAGCCTATTATTGGAGAAATCAGTATATATATATATAGATCTATAAACACAAATATCTATTTTTAAACACAATGCCTTGGGAATGGCTTTGGCCCTGTTTAGATTTCCCTAACCTGGGTAGTGATGGATACGATAGACTCCATCGTACATGCGAGCATGCTCATTAGATAATAAAGCAGTCCCATTTTATTCCATGCATTCCAGAGGCCTGTGGCACAAGTGATCTCACATAAATTCTTCGGTATAGCACCTGTGTAAGCGTGAAGTGCACTTGTGCACCATGTCTGTGAAGTGCTTCCAGATTTCTGAGACGTTGGGGCTCCAGCTCTCTGTAGCTGAGAGGTAAAATCAACCAGAGTGCAGATTCCCTTCATGTGTCAGGCATTAGGCTTTGTAACCAATTTGTGTTCTTTGTTGTTTAGTGCTGTTGGAAACCCTTAGTAATTTCTTCTGTGTTACACCCGCTTCCAAAATCCTATAGCATATCAATGGGTTCTTTGGGGCTTTAAAACACATTGTCCAAAAGACTATTTTACAACATTCAGCCAGATAAACAGATTCCTAGTATTAAAGCATATTGGAGCGTGGACAATGAGTACTTTTGATTACAAGTTGCGAGTGATTGTCTAACTTTTATGTTTAAAATGCTTTCTGTTTTTTTAAAAACAAAAAAAATCAGTTCCCATTGAAAACTTTAGTAAAAGAAAGTTTAATGCATATATTTTTGTTATGACATCTTACAATTACTATTAATTTGTGTTGTGTGCATACACACATGCAGTTCACACAAAAACACACATACGCACACACCCACACACTGTCTCACATGCACACGCATGCACGCACACGCACACAAACACACACACACACACACACACATACATACACACACACACACACACCTCAATATGGTTGTCTGAGGTGTCCAAATGCTTATTTGGTAAAACATAGTCTCTGGATTCATACTGGACAAATTATACATGCTGTACAATGTTTGCTCTATATTACAGAATCTAAACAAATTCTATAGGATGAGTTCAACACCTACAGAATGTTTTGTTTTGTGTGAGGGAAGTTGTTTGAGGTGTGTGTTACAGTCAATTCCCCTTTGAAGCATCTGGCAATAAGACTTGCTGCCCTATTCATCTTGTGCATGCAGGTACGTTCTCCTTAAGGCTCACTTTCACGAGTGGATCATCTTCCAACAACTAACTGAGACATAATGTAATAAAGAGTTTTAACTAGAAGATCTAAGAACTTGACTATGTGTACCATTGATGTGAATAATGACAGTTTACTCCCATTGATGCTTAGCCACAATCTGCCATACGTAAGAGAAAAACACAAGTATTAAATGCCAATGTTTTATTAAAAGATTGGGACTATAAACAAATGGAAGGAAAATTAATAAGTTAAGTTATAGAACTTGAAACTGCTCTTGTCACATGCATCCAAGTGGAGTTGACTGTATTTAACTGTTTGGAACAATGTGAAATTTAATATGCAAAACTGTAAGGTAATCGAAAATAAAATCTAGATGTGGTTAAATGGAAGTGTTATTAATGTGAATAAATTGCAGGAATTGGAATGGGAGTGTAAACAAATTTTAAAGTACAACTGTTTCATTCTTTACAGGTTTAAGAAAATGTTCTGGTGGCAGTTTTGTAGTTTTCATGACCTTTGTTGCTGTTAGTTTTCCTGTTGAGTTAGTCTCCGTTTCAACAAAGTCTTGTGTGTTGAAAAATATTTTTTTTTGTTCTTCATGTGAGTTCATTGCATCCTGAGATTTCTTGGAATCATTCAATTCCTCTCCTGGAGATTTTTCGGGATCACTTAACTTCCAGTGATTTCCCAGGATCACTTACATTCTGAATAGTTTCTCGATTAATCAGATTCCTAATTTATACCTTGTTTCTATTACTTCCATGGCTGAAATTTGCCACTTGGTTTTGTTAAGCAATGTGCTGGTTTCTCGTGTTAGTTCCACTTTCTGTGATGGTTTGACTGTCTTGGTTTCTCGCTTCCATTATTTTCCGGAAGTTGAACTATCCTCATTCAGCGACTCTGCCTGAATCCCTTCTTTAAAAGTATTCTTTTCTTTTATTTCCCAGCCCATTGTACCAGTTACATCTGCCATATCCAAGTAGAAATTCAGATAGCTTTTCTGAGCTGGGTAGGTTGTGTGGAATGGGAGGATTTAACCAACAGCAACAAAGTCAGGAAGCTGGGACATGAGCAGACACAACTGTTGTGGGAGTGTAATGTTAGCGGAGAGAAGACCGTGTACAGGTTATGACAGTGGTATGGGTAGTTCTGCTATAATGCAATAGTTGCGTTTTTGTGTGACCTTGCGCTATAAAAAATCGCGTTGTAGGGAAATCACTATACCTGTACAGTAGAAAGTTCATGTTATCCAAACAGTGTCCACTATTCATCAATTGCATTACAGCCAATTTGTGTTAACAAAACACGCGTTATAGTCGAACTACCTGTATCCTACTGAAACACCGATTCCATCATGTTACTGAGTATCCAAGGGTGTCTCCCCCTGTGTCCAGGCTCAACATATCCCTATGGCATGTTGGTAGTGTCCCTACGTCTGAGGCAGGAGGCCTGGGTGCAAGTCCCACCTGCACCAGAGGTGTGTAATAACATCTCTGAACAGGTTGATTAAAAGTATCTGGGCATCACTGGGCGAATTCTGCAACTCATTGGCATGGCAGTCACCAACAATGTGGGCAGCTAGGAACAACAAAGTGGCTTTCACAGCCAACGTGCTTTTCCAGGAGGCGTGCACCTTCAGCTTTCTGGCCGGGAAACCCAACCAACACCCACCAAGAAAAATGGCTCAATAATTTCCATCACTGATATCTACAACACATCTTCAGCGACACTTGGAAAGACAAGACCATAAGACAGTTAGATGTAGGAACAGGAGAGTGTGCTCTGCCTTGCAGTGAGATCATGGCTGATCTGATAAGCCACAACTCCACTTTCCTGCCTTTTCCTCATAACTCTTAATCTCTTCATGATTAAAAATCTGTCTCAACCTTGAATACATTGAGCGATAAGACCATAAGACATAGAAGTAGAATTAGGCCATTTGGCCCTTCAAGTCTGCTCCACCATTTAATCATGGCTGACATGTTTCTCAACCCCACTCTCCTTCCTTCTCCCTGTAACCTTTGATACCCTTACTAATCAAGAACCTATCTGTCTCTGTCTTAAATACACACAGTGACTTGGCCTCCATAGCCATCTGTGGCAATGAGTTCCACAGATGAACTGCCCTCTGGCTGAAGAAATTCCTCCTCCTCTCAGATCTAAAGGGTCATCCCTTCACTCTGAGGCTGTACCCTCAGGTCCTGGTCTCTCCTACTAGTGGAAACATCTTCTTCATGTCCACTCGATCTAGGCCTCTCAGTTTTTTGTGAGTTTCAATGAGATCCCCTGTTATCCTTCTGAACTCTATCGTGTACAGACCCAGAGTCCTCAACCGCTCCCCATATGACAAGCCCTTCATTTCTAGGATCATTCTTGTAAACCTCCTCTAGACCTCCTCCAAAGCCAGCATGTCATTCCTTACATATGGGACCCAAAACTGCTCACAATATTCAAAAGGTGGTCTGACCAGAGCCTTACGTAGCCTTAGCTACACATCTCTGCTCTTGTACTCTAGCCCTGCAGAACTCGCCAACTGCCATCCTTAAAAAGATCCCTTTATCCCTACCCTCGCCTTCTGTCAGTCAGCCAATCCTCTATCTATGCCAGTACCCTTGCCCCTAACACCAGGGGCTCTTATCTTATTTTTCAGCCTCCTATGTGGCACCTTGTCAAAGGCCTTCTGGAAATCCATGTAGATCACATCCACTGGCTCTCCCTTGTCTAACTTGCTTGTTACTTCCTCAAAGAATTCTAACAGATTTTTCAGGCATGACCACCCCTTGACTAAACTGTGCTGACTCAGTCCTATTTTACCATGCATTTAAAAATACTTTGCAATTTCATCCTTAATAACAAAAACTCAAAAATCTTACCAACAACCAAGGTCAGGCTAACTGACCTACAGTTTCCTGTCTTCTGCCTCCCTCCCTTTTTAAACAGGGATGTTATGTTAGCCATTTGTCCAGTTCTCTGGGACCATTCCTGACTCCAGTGATTCCTGAAGGATCATCAGCAATGCCTTTACAATCTCTTCAGCTATCTCCTTCAGAGCTCTGGGGTGTAGGCCATCTGGTCCAGGTGATTGGTCGACCTTCAGACCTTTCAGCTTCCCCAGCACCTTCCCCTTCGTGATGACTACTACAGTCAATTCTATTTCCAAACTCTCTTGAAGTGCTGGTATGCTACTGGTGTCGTCCATTGTGAAAACTGATGCAAACTTACCTGTTCAGTTCCTCTACCATTTCTTTGCTCCTCATCGCTGCTTCTCTAGCCTCATTTTTTACCGGCCCCATGTCTAGTCTTACTGCTCTCTAGCCTTTTAGTGACTCAGCCTCACCTGCCGCCTTCAGTAAAAAAAATTCCACAGATTTACAACCCTCTGAGAAAAATTCTTCCTCAACTCTGTCTTAAATGTGTGACCCTCTGATTGTGCCCTCTTGCCCCAAACTCTCCCTCAAAGAGAAACAACCTCCCTACATCTAAGGTTCTTGCAAAGATTTATAGCTTGGTTTGTGGGTGAGGTTGTTGATTTGTTCGCCGAGCTGGCTGGTTATAGTTCAGATGTTTCGTCACCATGCTAGGTAACATCATCAGCATTGCCTCCAATAAAGTGATGTTGTTCTACTCCACTTGGTATTAAATGATCCAGTCTGTTAAGGTGTTTGCTGTCATTTCTGGTTCTTTTATGCAAGGGTTTGTATGTCTTGTATATATAGAACATCAAAATCAATGACAACAATATTATGGTGTCCTTTCACGTCACAGCGCTATTAATACCCATTGACAACCCACTAGCCAAGGAAACACTGGCCACATTACTAGAGGAAACAGAAACAGCAACCGGCAGCTCCATCAGCAAGGACAACTGGACCTATGCCTCACCACACACTTCACCTTTAATGGTCAAGTATACAAACAGATTAATGGCACACCTATGGGGTCACCCATCTCAGAACTTATTGCAGAGGCAGTCATGCAAGGATTGGAACGCACAACCCTCCCCTACATATAGCTAAAACTGTGGATACAATATGCGGACGACACATTTGTCCTCATTAAACGCACTAAGTTAGAAGAGACACACTACCTCATCAACAACATGCTCACCGGGATCAAATTCACAAGCGAAGAGCAAAACAACAATCAATTTCCGTTCCTAGACATCAAGGTGGAACGAATGATGAATGGGGAATTCCAAACCACAGTATACAGGAAGGTAATCCACACTGACCAAATCCTCAATTTCCACAGTAATCACCCCAAAGTCCAAAAACAAAGCTGTGTTAGGACATTATTCAAACTGGCTGCAATCCATTGCAACACACCGCAACTTCGCAAGAAGGATGAAGAGCACCTATACAAAGTCTTCGGTATCAATGGATACCCCACCAACTTCAACTGCAGATGCCTACTAGATAGAAAACATCAAGAGGACTCAATACACTCTAATACACCGGCCACACTACCATATTTCAAGAACATATCGGAACTGATGAGACTCCTGTGACCACTAGGAATCAAGATAGCACACAAACCCACAGCTACACTATGAAAAACACTTACAAAGACCAAAGACCCCATACCCACGACATGCAGGACCAACGTAGTGTGCAAAATACCATGCAAGGACTGCCAAAAACATTACATTGGCCAGACCGGAAGGAAACTAGCCATCAGGATACACGAATACCAGCTAGCAGCAAAACAACATGATGAACTTTCCCTCATTTCAGTGCACTCGGACAACAAATGCCATCAATTTAACTGGAACAACATGACCATCCTAGCCCAAGCCAACCATAGACACTCACAGGAATTCCTACAGGCCTGGTTCTCCACCCATAATACAATCAATAAATATGTGGAATTAGACCCCATATACAAACGCTTGCAAAAAAAGAACCGGAAATGACACAAAACAGCTCAACAGACCGGATCATATAAATACCAAGCAGAGTAGAACAACATTGCTTCACCGCAGGCAGCACTGATGATGTTACATAGCATGGTGATCAAATGTCTGAACTATAACCAGCCAGCTCGGCAAGCAAATCAACAACCTCTCCCTACATCTTACCTGCAGAAGGGAGGAAATCATCATTTTGACTGCAAATTGTGCAAAAATAAGGAGATCGAATGGAATTTTGGCATTTATTGCTAAAGGGATGGAATATGGAAGTAGAGAAGTGATGTTGCAATTGTACAAGGCACTGATGATACCGCATCCGGAGTACTGTGTACAGTTTTGGTCCCCTCGCATGAGGAATGATGTAATTGCATTGGAGACAGTTCAAAGAAGATTAATTCCAGAGATGAAGGGCTTGTCTTAAATAGATTGAGTGGTTTAGGTCTATGCTCTCTGGAGTTTAGGAGAATTTGGGGTG